AAAAAAACAAATGAGTTCTCCGACTTGTTGGGTTGGCTGCTTGCAACTGCTGGCTCGTCACTTTCATCGCCATCATCACAGCTTCATGCATAAATGTTTCGAATTAAAAGTTATTCCACGAAATGGCTCCAACACTTTTGTGCTGGCGCGGGCATGAAGGTGCTCAGCGCATTGGCGCCGAAAGGGGTGTGCTGCGCTGAAATCGCTCACAAGCGAGTCATTTGCGTGTCCTTGTTCCTTCCCACACATTTCTATTTGGGCCATTTTGCAGCGCTTTGTCGGCAAGTTGCTACTAAAAAAGAAAACAACAACCAAAAAACGCTGCATAGTTCGCAGTTAACATCGGTGGTTTTTTGTTCTCTTTTGACGGCAGCGCGGCTGAAAGTTTAGTTTAGCAGGAAGCTTCGATGAAACAACAGCATTGCTGTGCGCGCCAAAATGTAAATGACACAGTTCTTCTTTCTCTTTCATCTCGTTGCCTTTCCTAGCCGTTTGTTCGTTTGTAAGGCAGCAAGTTAGTGATTAGCGCGGCGATGAGCAAGCGGGATGAGTATCGGTGAGGAGTCATAAAAGCGTGGTCGAAAGAGGACCGGCAGTGCCAGTATGGAGCAAGTATGGTATGCCATGAATTCTATATGCACTCGTTGATTAACATGAACGTCGAGTGTTCAGTAATGTCAGCGTTCATTTACGCCGCTTCCTGCTAATGAGACATCTAGAAGAACGCGCTTTTTGGCTAACACATCAGCTCGTTCATTACCTTCAACAACTTTATATCCTGCGCCCACGTATAAGTGGACAGTTTTGGCCATAGCTAACCTCCTTGGTAGCTACCTATAATCTACAATTAGAACCATAATGGCTGCCTTATTCTCAAAAAAAAGTAATAATAATTTTTTAGCTGATTCGGCGTATTTGTTTCAAACTATTCTTTATCACTGTACTTATCGCTACAATTTCGGCTTGATAAATACTTCCTTTAGCCTAAAAGACCTGAAACAAATCCAGTTCGGAGCAGTATACTGGAACTAACACCCCGTTGTTCATAAAGGAATTATCAGTGCCAATATTCATCGCATAATCTACCATCTCTACCACAGCCTATAGGGAAATAAAATACTTCTTAAAGTAAACCATCTAGTTTAAAAAATAGCTTTAAAAGCACACTCTCAATTTAATCGGCACAAGTAGGCCGATTGGTGCTTACCTATACCAGATGGGGGAAAAATGTTGAGTGAATTTGATGCAAGACCTAATACAAAACCCTACTGCTGACACATCATCGAGCTAATTAAGTTGTGGACTGCCACACATAGGCGTTAATTGTCTTCCAAGATCTTCCTTGTTCCCATCTCTCGGCATTTCTTGCCTAAACTGCGTATGTGAGCCTGCATGAATTATTTTCTAAATAGCAAAAACACTCATATTTCAAAATGGTTCTCTTATTTATAAAGCAATCGCATTTCTGGCTAGTATATTTCAGGACGGATAGATAAGGATTGAGCCAAGCGCTTGTCTGAGCAAATCCAATTTTTGACAAAAAATATCAGTTACGCGGATTTACAGAACGACGATAAGTGGTTTTGTACTTTAAACGACGATATATAACATTGTTGTCGATGCACATAACTGGATAAAAACTCCACAAAGAGTTTTTGGAGAATCGGCTGAAGTGGCAGTCCTTGGCCAGACATACTAGATCTGGGCCACTCCGGTTACGAAGACCGGACTGTTGTGAGAACATGTCTAATGGGCCATCTTCATTTGTGCTCACCTGCTTGGCCTGAATTATTCGGCTTAGGTTATTGGTAAACGTCCACATGGTGTACATGTCGTATGAGTGATATTTTACTTCAGTGATGCAGTCAAAAGCCATGGGGAGCCGAAAAGACCTTCAGCTAATGAATTTAATCTCAGTTTGCATTGCAGGTGTACACATACATATTTACATGGACATAAATCCTTAATAGAGTAAAAGCTTTGCCAGTTTTTGCTTTCTGTTAATAATCTGATAAAAAGACCATTTTCTCTGATATTTATTCGAGTAATTTCTTTGAAAATTTAATCAATATTTTTTACCATGTAAAACAATATTTAAGAATTTTAAAACTTCGCCACCTTTTCGAATATAGCTTTATTGAAAAAAAAACGCATTTGTAAGTTTGGCCGAGAGTGTAGTTTAAATGGCAATATGTTGCAATTAATGCCAATGATCAATCAATACTGCAAAATAGTATTAAATAAGATCAATGCTTAGAGGCATATCGCAAAATATTTCGGTGTCGCCAACTTTTACACTAAAATTAAATTTTCAACGTGCGATTTGAACGTGAAACAAAAAATCTTGCTTTAAGGAAAAATCCTTCGGCACACATATGTATGTACATCTCAGCCAATTGAGTGTTACTATTCAAGTAAGTTTCTATAAAAACCTCAAAAAGTTGCAAATACTACATCCAGTTCAAGCGAAGCACCATTCAACAGACGATTAGAAGCAATCACATAATGGCCATAACAAAACGTGCTCCCAGAGTGCTTTAATCGGTTTCCAATGCACAAATTCGGATTTTTTAAGAACCATTGTGACAAGCCATTGGGGTGCAGTAATGCCTCAAACAAACCAAAAAAAAAGTGCACGAAAAGTGTGAAGAATAAGGGAAAACATACAATGTAAAAAATTCAAAACAAAAAAAGATAGCATCCCCAATGTCGTGTCTGCATAATGTCGGCAATCACAGACAAATAGAAGCAAAATCGACAGAAGATATGGCAAGTAGAATTTGCAAGAGAAGAATTGAGAATTAGAATTTGCAAAAAAGCAGAAGCAAATGAAGTAGGAATAACGAACGGAAAATCTGGTTTATATTCACTGGCGCATAAAATTAGGTGAGCCATTGCATTCGTGCAGTACCTCAAAGGGGGGACAAGGCAGCAGCACTTAATTTGTTTGTACATTTGTATGCACTCGTCAGATACGAGATACGGTAGTGACTAACGCATCTCACCTAACAGTTATTAATTGAGTGAGCCCTACGAAATCCTTTGAACGCACCCCCCGCTTTAAGCTTTGTAAGACTCTGCAATTTAATTTACTTTATTATTGACTGCCAGGACAGTAAGTGCTTCGTGACTTTCCCGCAAAGTCTTTTATGATTATGAGAACAGATTGGCCGTCTGAGATTATTTAACCGTATCAAATTGTCTCTGTGCTCAAATTCGCAAACCCTCCAAGATTTTGTATAGCTCAGCTTGAAAGACTTTAGCATCTTTGCATAGAGAGTGGGATTTTTTGGTTTTCCAGATATCACTTGTGAGGAAAGCACCTTATACCCCTCAGAAAAGCTTAAAGAGGTGTCAACATGGTCAACGGTCTGAGTTTTCTGCATTGCTGTTTATTGCCTAATCTTTTTCCGCCAGCTAGTTCGCCATCCTGAGCTGTTTTTTGTCATGCAAGTATTTGCTAGGCTTTGGTTCTATTCATGGCTATATGAGGCACCTAAGTGAGTCTTCTAGTTTAGGTTAGTTTTAGATATTTGAAGCCACCCTTTAAAGCAATCGCAGTGCCAATGAAAAGAACTATAATGGCTCTGTTTGGGTTTATGGAGAGCCTGCAAAAGTTCCAGGTTATGCAGAAAACAATCTGCAGCAAGGCTTTAATGGCTTTTCATAATTGCCTTTGTATGTATTATCAAGCGTTGAGAGGCTACCTAGGGTCATCAACTAAGTACTATATATAGACCACAGTAGGGATCTTTCGCTGCGGTTATAATAAGCTCTTTACGGTTCAGTTCTGCTTTAATCCGCCTATTGCTCCACATATTTATTTCTGGTCCATTTAACGATTTTTGGTTTTGTAGTGATTTAAATGTCCATAAGAAGGCTAAGCCCCTAAACGCAAGAGACATTCATATATTTGGAACAAGGAATTGTAAAGCTGTTGTCGCCATATAAGTTTCTCCAAGGGCTTCAGAATATGTATGTACATGCCCTTTTAGGATGAAGACTATTTTCAATTCTCTTCAGGTTTTTGGATCGTATTCCAATATTTGGCTGGCTCTGATTATAATCCAGTTTTTTGGACCAGGACAATGCTGCCTCCGAATAGGAGTACTGGAAAAATGCTATGTGACCAAAGCGATTTGTAGGGTTTGCAGGATACGACTGCTGCAGGATACGAGTACCTTTTCTACTCTCATTGCCAGCCATCAGGTAATTGATAATGACACAACTCAGATTCAACTAGAAGGGTCTCTGACCAGTTGAGTAATACAATCGACGTTATTTAGTGGGAGCCTCAATGTCTTCACGGTTTGTTGTGCAGCGAGATAGCTAATTGCGAGATATCAGCCATACGACTGGGGCCATTCGTATACTCGTATATAACTTCGGATATTCGTACATATGAATAAGATCCGATTAGTTTATTTATTCGGATATTCTAAACAATATTTTAACGGATGCATAAAATTGTTCTCAAAATCACTGAAGCTATCGAGTTGTAAAACAAATAGTATGTAGAACCCTTCATTCGCACACAAACAATTATTATTTTAAAATTCGAATATCCGGTTATCCAGGGATCTATACAATATTAAGAGGTCCGGATATCCTGTTAGAAAATGCGTCAATTTGTAAGTAAGTGGCTGTGTATTAAAAAACTAAAATAGTGCAAAATTAATCATACCTTAATATTGCATACTTTTGTAGGCATACGCTATTTATAATTTAAACATTCGACTAGAAACAATGACTTATTTCATAGACGCCATGAATCTTTTATAAATATTTTATTATTCGACAGCCAAACGAGCATTAGGCATTCCCCAACTTTGTTAACAAACTTTTTAATAATTCAATGTCCACCTACATAAATTCCAGCTTTAAAGCTGCAGTATATATATATATATAATAGCTTTTTAAAAAAATCGGCATGTGTTTCATCGTATATTTGTATGAGTATTTATAACTTGTTCATAGTATAACTACTTAGGTGCGCAAATATTCTTTTAGCAAATTCCAGGCCATTGTTTTTATTCACGCTGCTTTTTCTATTCAAACGAATTCAAGCGTGCTGGTGAGATACCGCTACCCACTGGTTTCTAATACCCATTTCAGCTGAATGCTACGCAGTTATTCAGTTAAAAAAAAATATTAGTTTACCAAAATGTCAATGGACTTTCAAGCGCAAGAGTTGTCGCCAAACCCCCCCCCCCCCCCCCCCCCCNCCTTTACTAATCCATTATTTACCGGTAAGTCCTTAATTTATCCATTGACTTCACTCTCTCATTTGCGTAATAATTCACATAGCAAAACCATTGAAGTATCCTCCTTGTATAACATTGTGGTCGAGTTGATTTATTCATGATGGATAGTCGGAGTTGTAAATAGTTGGCAGATGCTCTCTGACTGCCTTTACTGCTTTGAAGCTCTCCAGACACAAGTTACCAACATTAGTCTTACACAAATCGGCTGAGCGCATTAAATATTTTGTATGAAAACTCAACTAAGCATTTCCGAGTCCATTCCAGCATCCTCTCCTATCCACTTGGTATTGTTACTAAATTTAATTTAATTTTTTTTTTGTTGCTTTGGTTTTCCAACTATTGTTGCTGTGACATTTTAAATGCTGCCCACTATTTACTGCACTGATTAGTACTTGACCGAGCGCAATGGCAAGCACTTCTGCGAACTTGCCACATTTCCACGTCTCCGTGCCGTATTTTTAGAAAATTGTTCGTTGGTGTGTGCGTGAGTGTGTGAATGAGTTTTAGCTACTGCTGTGCAACTATGTTGCAAGCACGTGGCAGTGTGCAGCTTTCAGCTGGCGGTACAATCG